CTGTTTTCTTTCCTACCAAGTTTTTCTTTAGGTCTGTATTTATGTCCTGGCTGTTGTGATTGTATGAAATGGCCTTCATGAAATAAATCCACTATAGTAACTGGAGTTAGTCCAGAGAGCAGCAGGATCTCTTGGCATTTCACATGCTGCTTGCTGATAGGTAACTTTTTTTTTCTTTTGCCTGTTCTGCATTAATTTCCTCCAGTTTATGCACAGGGCATCCTGGCACCCTGTTGTTACTCCAGCAGCTCTTGAAAGAGATCATCCTCTCTGGGAGTCTCCAAGAAGGAGTGGCTGTTTTTGAAGTTGAATTTAAGCCCCAGACTGGATTTTTGGATCTTGTAGGTGGTGTGGTGTCTCTATCACATGAAACAGCCCTAAAAAGCTTTTGTAAAGAAAAATAAAGTCTTGTTTCCATAATCTTTTGTTTCTTTCTGTTCCAAGGCTGTACTCACCTGACATTCTGTTAAAAGGGATGATTAAACAAACTCAGTGCAAGTAAGTCTCAAACTGAACCCAAACTAAAAACCATGCAGCCCTGTCCTTCCCCCTCCAAGGGCAGGGTTAAGCATCTGTTTGTTTTTATTAATGTCAGTAGGTCAACCCAGCCACCATAGGGCCGTGACAGTCCCTGTCCCTTCCCTGGGCTGCAGGGATTTGGGATGCATGGCCCCACACAGAGCCCCTGAGGCCACCCCACTGATGGGGCTGCACAGGCACCCTGCACTAGGTGCTGGGGCAGGTCCATGCCAGTGCTCACGGGCAGCTGCTTGTTGTATTGCCAGGATGACTCAAAACTCTCAAATTCTCTTTATTTCTCACTGCAGAGCGTGAAGCTGGAGGTTTTGATGCATTATCTTATCTGAATTGATCGTGTTGTTTTAAAATTAAAAAAACCCCCAAACATTATTATTATTATTATTATTATTATTATTATTATTATTATTATTATTATTATTATTATTATTATTATTATTATTATTGTCCTCTCTTTGACTGCTGCATTAATTCAGTCTTCCTTCCTTCCTTCCTCTTATGATTAAATACTCACCCCATCAATGAGGTTAAGACTGTTTGCCAATATGATCAAGTTTCAGAAACAAAATCCTAACCAGAATGGAGTAGCTAGAAGTGGACGGGGCTTTATTTAATATTCTGGCACAGTAACTAAAGATAGGTATCACCCCTGGACATGCTGTATAATTGCTCACTCTGTTTAGTTTGGGAAATTTATAGGTAATGTAAAACAGAAAATAGTGAGTTTATTACAAAATATTTTTTTTCCACATAAAATTCTGTGTTATTAAGTTCAGAAAGCACTTAAAATTCTGTTTTATTTTTGGTAACCACTACCTCTTGAAAAGTGAAAAGTAAAAATATCAGAGGGATCTCTAGGCAGAATTTGTGAACTTTCCAATGAAAAGACAGCACAGTGTCTTCCTTTCACTTCCTGAATGACACTGAAGTTATGTGCCAAGAGTTTATTCCCAAAGCAGGTATTACACATGGTTATGGTCACAAAGATATCCTTACACAGCATTAATGCCAGAGGAGCTCTGAGGCTGTCAGCATTTTGATTTGGTGGGGGGACACCATCAAAACCACATATATTCTTAAAATACATCCAAACAGTTTAAATGCCATCAAATAGAGCTACAAATCACAGAAGATGCAGCATTTCACATAGATGGTCCTTAAATCTCTACTTGTGGTAAATTGACATGTGATAATATATGACTACAAAACCCTATGTCTTCTAATAGTTATAAAAGCTTTTATTTGATTTGAATGCAATAATGAGTGGCAATTTGTGGGAGTTCTATGTCTTCTAGAGACTTTCCTAGCAAACACTTCAATTTTTTTCTCTCTCATCTGCATGCCATACTGGAACACAACTGGGAGCTGGACTTGTCCACTGTAGCAAACATTATTAATCTTATTACCATCTGAGCACCTCCCTGTGTGCTGCTGAGCAGCCTTTGCTGGACCATGCTGGAAAATCATTTGTTTAGCTCCACAAGGGTCTGATCAAGTATCACCACATGTCAATGGAAAGAATCCCAGGGAGCTCAATGGACCAGGCTCCAAAAAATCCTCCAGTATGGTAGCCTTCTCTGTGTTTCTTCTCTCTTTTCCTCAGAAAGAGTTGTAGACAAAGCAATTAGCAATATCTGAAGCAGAAGATGTATCATGCTGTGCATCTTTTCACAAAACATTTTTATCCTGGGGGACACCAAAGATGTAGAACATCTATTCCGGGGGCACACAGATGACATCCACTGTTTTTTAATTATGTAATACGTACTTTTAGGACAACGTAGTCTTGCCAGCTCTGGCAAAGGCAAACACAGTAACTGTTCTGCTCACAGTATTAAATACACTTCTCTCGCTGTGCAGTGGAAGGATGTGTTTAAACTCGCAGTCTATCACTATTCCTGGATAGTGTAGGAGAGTCCAGGAACACTCAAGATGTCTTTTCCTGTGTATATTAACTTGTTCAGAACAAAATAGTGTTCTTAGAAAACATGAATCTTATGGCAGAAGAAAGTTTCCTTCATGACTGTGCTACAAAGGTTTCCAAACCGAATGCTTGTTCATTTGGGTGCATGAAATACCAGGTTCAGCCTGCTCACAAGAACAAACATTTAATTTCTTCTCACCGTGGCACCCTCACTGTGGTCATTTCCACCTGTAATGTTGGCTTTGTAATGCTGGCAAGTGCAGTATGCGCACAATGTCTTTGTTGTAAGAGCTTTCGGAGGAGAGCTGCAGAGTTCTTGCGACCTCAGTGAAATTCCCGCCTCTCCCCAACGCCGGCTGTTTGTCCTGCTTAGCAAGGAACCGCGCGCCCAAGGAGTTCTGCTGCTGTCGGATGAGAGCAGTGAACACCAGAGGTTTCAGGTGTTGCTAGACGGGAGGTCAGCACCCTCCCACCTCTCTGTGGACCACACATGGGATCAAAGGGTTGGTTGGGCAACCTTCAGTGCACTGAGCTTGCCAAAGCCCCAGGAGCAGCACCCCTCAGCCACCCCCCTCAGGGCTGCCCGTGCATGGGGGCAGATGAGAGCTCGACCCTCTCCTCAACATCTCCTCACCCCAAAACTTTCACTGAAGCTTATGCTCAAGGCTCAGGTGTACAATTCAAGCAAGGCGGTCACAGCCCAGGCCCTGAGAGGGAAAAGTGCGTGTCAATGAAATAGAAGAGGTGTCACTGTTTTAACACAGATTAGGCAAAATCTAACCCTCATTAATCCTTCAGAGCAGGGCCTCTGGTTTGTTCTTTTTTCAATGTATTCTGTATTCAAAGCAAGTACATTCTTTCTGTCACTATATCGCTATTGTTAACAACTATAAATGTATTAAAAACACAGGGGCATTTTACTATGTGTATTGTGCATAAGAAATATTGTTACATGACAAGCTCCAATTGGCAAGTGAAAAGAGGTTTTATTGAAGGAAATAGCAGTAGCAAACAGTGAACTATGCAGAATAATGGTAATTGTTCCTTTAACATTGGCAGCGCGCGTTCACTTAATATGACTGCTCCTCTGTCTCTGCCTCATCCAGACCCAGAGGACCTGTTAGACAAGCAGGCAGCCACCTCTCTCTGGGATCAAGCTGTCAATGCAAACTTGCTTTCTTTCTATTTCTCGGAGCTAAGCTATACCCCCAGAGCTCCTGAAGCTTTTCCTGAGTGAAAGCTTTAAAAAAGCTCCATTCTAAATTACATCACACGAGCTGTTCTCTTCAGACTGACAGAACAAAAGCGGGGGGGGGGTGGGGGGTGGGGGGGGTGGGGAGGAAATGCCAAAAGTACCATCTGAATGACTTCTGAGTTGGATAGAATGATTTACCTCTTCATCCTTTATCAGAGGAGACTAACATCATCTTGACCTTGCCTACCAAAGCCCCAGCACTGTCCTCTAACTAGCAGAGAAAGTTTGCATCGTGTGTGTTTGCAATGCCAATAAATGCAGAGCAGTTGGTTGCAGGCTTTTTACTTACAACAACAGGGTCTTGGGTGCCCCATTAAGAGACGTCCTAATGAGGGCATGGCACTTTCTAAATTTTTTAAAATGACATGTTCTCTAACACAACCAGCTCATCGTTACTCAAAGAGCACAGCTTGTGGGTGCTGTACAGCCTTGGTGTGCTCACCCTCTAACCAGCATCACCCCAAGTAATGGTCATGGTGAGGACTGCTAAGAGCCACTGCCAAAGTCTGAGAGGTCCCTCAGGTTGGTTCCAGCTGGAAATCTCCAATTACATGTCATCATCAGCAGTAAAGGGAGCAGATAAACATTACTCACTTCTGCTGTGGTTGAGCAGGAAGCAGATAAATTGGTATATCTCCCCCTTTGAAAGGCTTTCAGGTGATACAGATTTGTTCAGGAACCCTCACTCAGGAAACATGCTCAGCTGGGAAGGGAGGGTGCCATGGGCCTTCCTCCTCCTTCAGCAGATAAATAAAGGTAAGAGGAAGAGAGCAACATTATGACTGTTCTTCAGGTAAGGTGTAGAATTAGAAACTCTTGTAAGGTGGCTAGTTGTCAGTTTGGGGTTGCCTGATCTCAAAGTAATTCACTGAGATCCTGCAGATTGAAATGAGCAGTCTTTGCATGGTTTGTAGGCTGACATTTTGTGGTGCTTACTAAATTTTTTGTAAGAAAATGCTTGTGACGTTAAGAGCTTGTTATCCTCATACAAGTTTGTAGGCTTAGCCCACTGCACAGCACTTCTATGCTTGTTCTGCTGTTTTAAGTAAATCTTAAGATGTTTCTTTAAGTCATTAATACAAATAATAGTCTCATTTTAAAGGTGGGCTGAAGGTTGGAACAGGTGATGGGTCAGTATTAAGGCAAAAAATGTTGCTTATAACCCCATGGAATTAGAATAATTGAGCTGATATTCTGCATTAAAGGTGTCACTTCAGTAATTTCAAAGATGTGGTGCCATGACCTATGTACTGTGGGGAGGAGATGAGAAGGTGGGAGACTTACCTGAGTCTCCAAGGGGTGGTAGAATTGGGCTGCCCAGTTCTGGAAAACCAGAATGTGAGAGGAAGGCTTCACTAAACAGGAGAAGCTCCTCAGCTGGTGAGGTGGCTTTGTTATCTCACACAGGCACCAGTGCTTTGAAATCACCTAAAAACTGTATTGTTACGAGAGTAAAGTCAAGCTTCTGGGACTGGAGAATTAGTCCCCTAATTGATTTCAGAAGTATGGAAAAAAACAACTCTTAATAGAAGCTGGGAGATACCCCTTCCATTTAAGGATCCAGTGTTCCCTGGACTCTCACTGAGATGATTTTTTTTTCCCCTGGGAGCACAGACAATTTTCATACGGTCAACACAAATTGTCCTAGCCAGAGGAGCAGAGACTTTCCAAGGATCATGACTCATAAATGCAGTGTTCATCCCTGAGTTTCTGAGAGAGTAAAGTTTATGTTTTTTGCTATGTCTTTTTATTGGCTCATTCTGAGTTGTCTTCATGCATCTGATCAGTGAAATGGCTCTGCCTTGATCTGTAAGGGCTCATCCTAATGCCTGTTAAGGCCAATGGAAATGTTTGGCTTCAGGATATGCTATATCAGGTGTTTTATCTGCTTCCTATGCCAAATCATGAAAACCTTAATTAGGAAAAACCTTTATTAAAATAATCACAACCAAGGAAAACACTGGTAATGAACCTGAATACAGACCTCATCACTGTGTGCTTCATTATACCTTTGTTCCTACCAATGGTACATATGAAGATGCTGGAATTTCAGTTTTTGAAGCTATCAGAGTGAGTTATTAAACATAGCCACTGTAATATGTGGTCTACTTTTCTGAACCATGACTTTAGGATACAGTGGATGTTCAAGTTTAGCTCACCCATCTTTATTTTTCTGTGTCGGCATGGCAGTGCTTCCTGTGCTTTTAGGTACCTCGGGGTTTTGCACTGCCTTTCACCACCATGGTATCAGAGTATCTCAAAATCAGTAACAATGGCAAAGCAGAAAACTTCATGGTGTTTGTAGGCATTTCTCCTCAGTTGCGAGGGGAAGCCATAGGTCTTATCTAAATTGGCAGTGGATCCCACTGGATGGCGGATTTTGTGCCACACAGGGGTCACTTAAAGAAATAACATTCTACGTTTTTTTTGGTAAATCTGGATCTGAATGAAAAATGCTAGCTTACCTTGTAAATGTCAAGTTGTGCTTGTAATAGTGGCAAACAGAACTTTGCTTTCTCACAAAATGAGGAAAATACAGTCTGGAAATAATTTTGAGATGACAGGGTGCCATGGGCCTATTCCCAGGCTCTTGAATTAAGCATAGCCGAGCTTTCCACAGGACAGAAGCAAAGCTCCTCATGGCGTGGGGACAAGCATGCTTACAGGTGATGGTTATTGAGTCTCTGACGCTGTCACGAGCAAGATCTGGAGTCCCTGGGGAAATGTGTGGCTGAGAAGAGCTTAATTTCCTTACGCCACCATGCAGACCACACTATCCTGCAATGTTTTCCATCCTGTATTTCTCTGTCTGGTACGCTGCTAGTTATGTGATTCGGGGACATACATAGTGAATTACTTGCTCTCATCTGCACTGGGGCCCAAGAAGTTTACTCAGAAATCCTTAGTTAGCTTTTCTCCCTGTTCTTTTACAAGAATGTGTAAGCCAAGCTTTAGCCTCTCTTTAAGCTTTACTAAAAAGATAAGAAATGTATGCCTTTTTCTGTGTGTTTATTTCAAACCATGATTCTTCTGGGAAGTGTGATTTGTTTACGTCTTTCCATAACAAATGACAATGGTTAAGGTTGCATCTCTGCCAACCTGTTTCTAAGTGTTTTAAAGTAGTTTACTTAGAGGGATTATTTCATCTGCCACAGTATATGAGGCAGCTCTGAGGTAGCGTCTAGCTTGTACAGAACAAGCCCACCTAACCTTAGCTCAAGTCAGGAGATTTAAGGTCCAGTAGGCAGTAGGATCACAAGAGCACAGAATGATAGTTTGCAAGTGTGCTCTACCTGAAGGAAAAAAAAAAATGCTTGACTTTTCCTTTCCTGGTGGTACTAGGAAGACTGGGAAAGGCTAGCAACATCAACAGCCCATTGGAGACAGTGACTTAAATCCTTGCTGTCCCTCAATGAGTCCTTGCACTAACCATTGAATTCTTGTGTACCTCAAATAATCCCCTACAAAGCAGGGATGTTTATAGATCCTCATCATATATGATTGGGTGCTGAAGCCATGTCTGTAAGTTAATATACGCTCTGTAAATGCAATTGCCAATGTTTTCTGGTTGCCTTGTTGAACTTCAGAAAGAGTCTTAAATTTTTAAGCAGCAAGCTTCCTACAGCTATTGCACCTTATGGTCACTAGTTAGCTACAGCAGGCGGGTCAAACATTGGAGACTGTAGTTTCTTTTCTGCCTGTAGGTTTCCTCCAGCTTCAAGTCTGTTTTCTACTCTTGCAGTACCTTGCCTTCTGTTTAAAGGCATTAGTTATACCAGATAAAGCTAAAGATGCTTGTTATAACAACTAAGTTGTTTCCTTTTTAATCAGAGCACATTCTTATGCCATGTTTGGCATGAAGAATCTGTGTATGTGTCTGGTTTAGGGAATATTAAGCTGACTATTTGTTAGAAGACTACTGATTACAAATAATTTTGCTTTTAGTTGTACAATTTACTGGGAGGTTTGTATCAGCTTTAGTAATCTAATTCTTGCTTAGTTGGAGGTGGTGGAAATATAAAGAATGGGAAATAAGGCTATTGTCATGTGTGCTGAATTGTGGTTTGGTAGTAGCAGTGGTCTTGTAGTGAAGTGGCCATCAAAACCTTTATTGGGGTGGCAATAAATGAAAAATAATCTTCAGAAAATATATCAGTTTTCAAAGAGTAAAGAAAGATGCAGCAATTATTGTGACACAGGTTTGCAGTCTGTTTCCGATTATCCTTTTGGCTAGATAGTTGGGATTTCTAATTGTAAGGTTAAGGAATCCTTTTTATCTATCTCTTGCCTCCTAATCCTATGCTAGACAGTATTGTTTTCTGTGCCTTTTGTGTTCTGGGGAAGGAGACAATCTCTGGCTCATGCGAACATCTTGTTAAAGTCTGCTGAGGATTAGGGGGTGTGACAGCTTTCTTGCTGAGCCTTTTTATTGGGGATTTTTATGCTTGCTTTTCTGGGAGGTCTTTGAAATGTCTTTTATGTAGCAATCATTTCACTCTTTCTTTGTTGTCTCAAATGTTGAGGCTGTATTATTCTCATCTGTTCCTGTTTATATTCCATACTAGCTGGCCATGACAGTTTAGCTTGAAACTATCATCATGCCGCATGCTTCTGAATCACAGGAGTGTTGTGAACTGCTCTAGGACAGTGGCAAATTTGAGTTTTATTGTAGGGCATCTGAAGCTTTAGCATGGTTGCTTAGTATGAAATACTGTTAAAGAGGTTCCAGATGAAAAACAATAATCTGAGTTGGACATTTCAACTGTCCACAGCTAGGCACAGGTGTTTAAAAATGCTCCTGCTATAATGAGATGGGTCCCCCTTAGGGTGGTGTTCAACGTACCAAGCTGCAGCTGGTATGATAGATGTTCAGTCTGGCTTAAAATCTTACAATAATCAGCGGAATACACAAGGCCATGCTGCTGGCAAGTCATCCCATCTTGATAGAAGAGTCTAAGCAAAGACTAATTGCTCTTTGGAAGACTCGTTTTGTCCCTGTTGCCTGCAGTTGGTTACAGAAAATATATAGATAATTATCCGGACCAGAAAACAAACTTCTAGGTGGCTAAAGTTAGATAATACAAAGACTAATGCAAATCAAAAGTTAAAGAATTTAGCTTTTCACAAGAAAGTTGGAAAACTTTGGTAATTTCACATTTCAATTTCAGAAAGCTATGGGGGTTGGTCAATGTGCTTAAGTACCGGTAAAGATGTTGTTTCCTAAAAATTTTATTAAATCATTGCTTCCATGTAATGAGCAATCTTAAACATATGGATTTCTCATATAATTTTTTTTTGAGATGGTAAGCATGTAATTGATGATTTCCCACAGTACTTATTTCTGACACTATGTAAGCTCAGGTACCAACTGTGGAGATCCCAGATTCAATGTTAAGCAAGGAGCCAGGCTTATGTAGCCTTGCTGGTAATGACGGAGTTGGAGGTAGGTTCCTGAGACATTAGTTTGGAAAAACTGGTTACATGACCTTCCCCTTTGAGAACATCGAGGTAAAATTTGTGTTTCTGTGAAGTCATTATGATGACTGAATAACTACTGTGCACAAGATGCTGCTTCATTTTTTAAATCTATGTAAGCTCTTATTTATTTCAGTAAACAGTGTATCATATCTTTACAGAGTAAGAAGCTACCTGCTTAGATGTTTAACTTTTGCTCCAGTAAATACCTTCCTAAAAACTGTTTTTCCTCTCCCTATCAAAAAATTGGCCCCCTGTAACATCATTTCCACCTGCCTTTGCTTGCAGCCTGCCTAGTATAATTTTTAGTGTCTAAAGCCATATATAATATCGTTCCATTTCACTCTTAACCACAAAACCCACTCTTCCAGATATGACCTCCGTTTATTTTATATCACACATCTTTTTCTTGAAGTATTTTATACATAGTATAATATGCAATGATACGGCACTGATGTTTATCAAAATTGTTTCACACTGTACTTACTTCTATTCCTGTCTTTTGGATCAAGTACAATACTGCTGCTGATTAATACCACCTTTTAAAATAGGTTTAATGTGTTTATTTTCTTACCACATTCACTCCATCCACTAACTTATTATATGGATTATATTTAAAGGGAATCTTGTGGGACTACCAAGGGGCGTTTATTTTATATTGAAATAACAATTAAGATAACACATAAACTAATATAGTAATCAAATAAACGTGACAAATAACAAACTTTTTTAAAGCTGCAGAGGCATGCTAACAAATCTATTTGATCAATATATGGGATGTGGAAAAAGAAGAGACAAGATTGACTGATGAATAAAATGGAACTGACACAAATAGGCTGACAGCCAGT